ACCTCTCCAGAACAATCCTCCCCTTTTGATGCGAAAAAAGAAATAATCGTTCCCGGCTATTATTCTAGGAAATACGGTGATTCAGTTCTAGTGTAGACTTTCATGGTGTTAACTTCTGTCAGCCATTGGGGTTTTATTTCTATCGACACTCGTGCTCATCTACTATCAAGCTTAGCCTGAGTCACGATAACATTGGTGCATATGCAAACGGAATTTTGGATGAAGTTAAAAAAAAAACAACAACAACAAATTCAAGGCGTTTGTTGAACTACAATAAATAACTTAAAATTACGCGTTTATATGATTTTTGGGGCAATTTTTTTAAAACTGAATAAATAAAGAATAGCGTTGATTTGCTTTATTGAAATAACCAGCATTCTAGCCCATCCAAAAAGGCAGCTTAATCAGGCGGTAAATCTCTATTCAATTAATGTTGTTAAAGGAAGAGGCTTCTTATTTTTTACTATGAGATTTTAAAAATGAAATTCTTTAGCTCGCTCATGCTTAAGAATTTTCTCAGCCATTTGACTTGAAAGCTCTCTTGAACGTCTTCTCACAAATGGGCCCCATTATTTCAATGAACGTGAACAAGACTGAACTTCCCGCCACAAAAGGGTTTACTATAGTGCACTGCAGGCCATGAAACATGGTTCTCGGGAGTAACCTTAATTGAAATAGGTGTATACCAATTTGGTTCAAAAATTAAAAGAGCTGGTTAATTTACGCAGTTTGTGCAAGTTTCAGCTCTTTGCAATCAGTAACAAGGAAAATCACAGCAACTAAAAACTGCAAAATACTGGGTGCAAAACGTTAATGAGCTCATACATTCTTTGTAAATTTTGGGGTTTTTGAAAGAGAATTTCTCCGAAACTATTTGGCATATCGCGCCCAAATTTTCAGAAATAACTGAAATTGTTATGCTCTTTCAATATTCAAACATTTCATTTTCTTCATCAAATAATTAACAATTATTCCTCGAGCCCGAATGGGCTCTGAGTCAATAGCCCATGAGGGCGAAGGTCGAATGGGTTATTGACTTAGAGGCCATAAGTGCGAGAGAAATAATTGTTTTTGTAAAATCCAACTAGTTGGTCAAAAATATCGCGAATAAAAATATTTTAGCCTGGACTTTTTTTTGCCGCCAAAAAGCCCGCGCTTTTCGCTACTAGTGGGCTATAACATATAGCCTAGTAGCAGCTCAACCAATCAGAACGCAGCATTGATAATAGACCACTAGTTGGATCTTACTAATGATAGTAAGCCTATGGTAAGGAGGCAAAAGATGTAAACAAGGATTCGCCTAAACACGGCCTCAGCGACACCACCAACACAAAACTACAGCTATTTCGCTATGTAATTCTTTGAAAAGAAAAAAAATGGGGTTATGTGATTTCTCAACGTTCGTTTGTTTTTATTGCTTCGGTACTGACATGAGGTGTCGTGATTCAGATAAACAGGACAAACGTGTCCCATGTAGCCTATGTTCTATGTCTCTTTTAGCCTGCCCGTGCGTAGCAACCGTTTCTGTTAACTTTTAATTTCCTTTTAGCCAAACAAGAGAGGCAAGAGAAGCCCCGGAAACACTCGAGACAGTGAGCATTTTTTTTTTTTTCAATTTTTTTGTTCTATGCCCTCGCGCGTCTCATGCACTTCTCTTGCTGGGTTTAAGTGCCCGTATCTTTAAAATGTTTATTTTTTTNGCTACTAGTGGGCTATAACATATAGCCTAGTAGCAGCTCAACCAATCAGAACGCAGCATTGATAATAGACCACTAGTTGGATCTTACTAATGATAGTAAGCCTATGGTAAGGAGGCAAAAGATGTAAACAAGGATTCGCCTAAACACGGCCTCAGCGACACCACCAACACAAAACTACAGCTATTTCGCTATGTAATTCTTTGAAAAGAAAAAAAATGGGGTTATGTGATTTCTCAACGTTCGTTTGTTTTTATTGCTTCGGTACTGACATGAGGTGTCGTGATTCAGATAAACAGGACAAACGTGTCCCATGTAGCCTATGTTCTATGTCTCTTTTAGCCTGCCCGTGCGTAGCAACCGTTTCTGTTAACTTTTAATTTCCTTTTAGCCAAACAAGAGAGGCAAGAGAAGCCCCGGAAACACTCGAGACAGTGAGCTTTTTTTTTTTTTTCAATTTTTTTGTTCTATGCCCTCGCGCGTCTCATGCACTTCTCTTGCTGGGTTTAAGTGCCCGTATCTTTAAAATGTTTATTTTTTTATTGAAAGTTAATATTACTACGAGAAACTCTGCGAAAATACTTTGCGTCTTAAACACAACATAAGTTTTTTAGAATGTTTTAGAAACGTTCAAATTTGCCGCCATTTTGTCACTTCATTCGTCTCACTCTTCTCTCGGATGCCAATCGGAAAAAGGAGCGACGACGTAGATTTGATAAGGAACGTTGACGTAAATTGATCTTAGATGCGAGTAAATATGTGTGGAGTTCTAGAATTATTTCTTTTAATTCACAAACTGAAACAGCTGTTTAAAGGTAAAAAATGCCAGTTAGATGCAAAAACACTGGGTACCCTAAGAAAAGGATATTCGAGCATAAATTCATGTCAATTCATGTCTCATGACCGTCCCATTTGACCTTGTCAATTTAGTGATGAGCGAAACGGGTGTGCTAAAGAAATTTAGACATAATTATTTTTCTAAAAAACTCTCATTGCGCTCAAATCGCAAAGTACTTTTGTTCCAGACTTAGCCACCGCAAACGTTACAGCAAAAGAGGAATGGATACATGTAAATGTGAATAAAGTCGTGGTCACACTTTTTAAGTGATCAGGAGGGGGTCAGAGCTAAGCTTGCCTTTCTTGGCAGGCGGGCACTAAGTGATATTACTCAAGTAAGCCTCATTTTTCGGCCCCCCTCCTGATAAATATTGCACAGTCCATTATTATTAGCTTCCCAAACTCTTTGTTCGCTAGCCCTTCCTGGAAAAAAATGTATCTTCGAAACATCGGTTCAAAACATTAGCAGACGATGTAGATTAAACATAAGCTAAAAACTGGAGGCTCCCTCGTGGACACAGTTAATTCTTTTCTTGAAGCTAGAAAAAAGAAAGAACGTATCAGCGAGATTTAGCTGAGACAAAATTAAGTGAAACGTTTGACACAGTATGGATTAAAACGGATCGGAACTCCATTTCAAATTTTTGAAACTTATAACTTCTTGTGACCGTGGCTCTAAACAGTCTTTCAAGATTTTTTTTTATTATTGCCGGTTTTCATTGTCACGCCATCAAAAAATCAAAACCATTCAATAAGTCAAGAATCTAGTATATGACGGAAGGCAAATATGCAAGGATCCTCGCCAAGACTCAGGTCAGTGCAATTTTGCAAATGCAAGATATTTGGGGAAATGATTTACCCAAAAACATATTCGCTTAAATCCCAGTTTCACATCGGTGTCGTGCAGTGACGACAAAGGAAGTACGTACCCAGAAGTGTGATGCACCTGCAAGCTTGTCGTTTGGCTAATTTTAATGAAAAAATTGTTGTTTGTTGTTGGTTTTACATTATTGTTGCGGGCGCCACCTTCGGCCGATTAATAAGTTCCCTTTTTGTATTAAACAAGAACAAACACAACACTTTACACTTACTTGTTCGTCTTTGCTGTAGGGAGGAGGTGGACCCCCCTCAGCTGTAGATGAGGGACCTCCAGTTGTGGAAATTTGGTGATAAGCTGGAGGCTGGTCGGTTACCTGAGTATCACCTTGAGGGGGCATGAGCTCATAAGGAACAGTAACACCACCTCCAGTTCGCTGCACAGGAAACGTTATGGGCACACCACCAGGGCCTTGGGCCACGACGTAACCACCTGGGACCACACCCTGGCCAGCCTGCAAAAATGGCAAAAAACAAACAAACAAGCAAACGACACACACAAACAATTATAACAACATCACAGTCATGAGTATCGAACGTGTATGCAAAGGACATTTGACGGAGGCCCTTTCTTTGTTAGTTTCCTTCTGCGATAAATGTACAATTTCATGTATAACTGAACGCCTTGAAACCAGGTGGAATAGCTAGCTAACAGTTAATAATTCTTAAAGTATCGAAACAAACTATTCTATTTGTGGCTTTCTGGCTCATTCTAAACATTTGAATACTATAAACGCCTTTTACACTAAATTGCTTCTTCATGCTTCTTGCTTTGATAAAAACTTAATAATAATAATAATAATAATAATAATAATAATAATATAATAATAATAATAGTAATAGTAATAATAATAATAATAATAATAATAATAATAATAATAATAATAAATGTCGTCTCGACCATCCACCACTCGAAGATTTATCAGAGTTACCGTTTCCGACTTCCCAGAAAGCCACACCTTTTCTTTAGCTACAACCTCGTTTTTCAGTGGTGTAAAACAATAAGATCAGCCGACTTCACTGGAGGAAACTGAAGTGGACTTGCATGAATTTGCTGCTTACAAATATGCCGCAAAAATGTACGTAAAAACTAAGGAATAAATCTGGGGCAAAGATATGGTAGATGGTAATGGTGCCACAATTGCATACGAAAACCACTACTCCTCAGTTACGTTTTTTTACATTTTTTGCTTCACATAGGCGGCGGAGTAGGGGGAGCGGTAGGGGCTCTGTTCCCCCTCCCACGTTTTGGTGCCGCAAAACACTTTTATCGTTGAATTGGACAATACCCGTGTGACATCAGCGGCTTGAGAGTGCACATTTTCTGCCCTCAGACGACTCAAGAACTAGCTAGAGCACAATGAAGCTGGACCGCCTGAACAACTACCTACTGATGCAGTTTCCAGAATCGATTACGGACACACTAGATGCTGTGAAGATTGCTTGTGCCAACGAACAACGCAAAGGGCATTTTTAAAAATTTCAGTCGGGGTATGCGTATGGCTGGCGTTTCAAAGCGCTCCGCCGCCTCTGCTACATATTTGCCGAGAGCAAATTTGTACAAATCCATTTTTTCGTCCAGCTAGAATACGAAGGTGAGGTGAATGTACTTTGGCTACTTACTTGTGGTTGTCCGCTGCAGGCAGTGCAGGGCTTCATCAGACAAGTGCATATGGCTGCCCAGATTCCAATCCCGAATGTAACAATACCAAGGACAAGCATGATGGCAAGAATGGTTACCTTCGTGCGATAGTGGTAATAGTTACCGTGGCGATAACTGTAGTCATATATTCCGTAATTGAAGGTGGTAATGCTCGCAATCCCGAAGCTGTAACTTATGATGATTATTCCACCGAACACAGCGGAGGTAATGGAAAAACCCATGAAAACACCAGCCTGTTGAAGGTTTGGAAATTCAAACGTCAAGCTAGACGCAGGTCAAACTTTAGCCTGTGTCTTTGATGGACGTTGAGTTAATCTTTACATTCAAAAAGATCAGGAAGGTACATGGTCAACATATGCTCACAGGGTGAGACACCTTTTTTAGAGGCAACGTCATTCAGATATATTTGATACGGTGATAATCATAAAGCAGGCCTGGCCACAGAGAGTTATGACAAACGAAAATAAAAAAAATACATTAAATTAAAAGATAAGGCAGCAGAGGAGATATTAAGTTAAGTTAAAATAATCTTCGAGTCCTATGGACGATAAAAATCCTCATAGTTTTATAGACTGCAAAAATGGCATTCTTCGTTTCTACAGTTTAGGAGGTCTACGGCATCTTAAGATACAAAGACAGGTAAACTTTCTTAGTAACGATTGCTAGCTGAAACAAGAGGACCTATGTTTTTGTTACTTCTGATGGTTTCACACTTATAGGCCGGGTTGTTCAATTGTCGACAAACGTACGTAAAACTACCATTTCCAACAGCTTACTTACAAAAGCATTGCAGGAACTGGTTCTTCGTTTCATGGCACTTCCAGGTATTCCAAGACCCCCTGTGATGCACATCTGCAAGAGAAAAAGTTATCGAGGTATTCATAGAATCTTTATACGACCGTTCTTTGCACACATTACAGTTCACCCCATATAACTAAGCTAATCCAAGAATGAAACTTGGATTCTGGATTACAAAGTGTGGATTTTTAATGCTAGTTACAATCGGGATTGCTAGGGCTGGAGTTTGGATTTCAAAGCTCAGGAGCCCGGATTCCAGAATCGAAAATTTCGCTCCATGAATAAGGGAATCCAAGACAGTCTTGGATTCTTCATTTGGCCATGCCGTGGATTCCGGATAGTTCCACTGAGGTACTGGATTCTAGTCCCTGTCATTGGAACTTAGATATCGGATTCCATTCGTAAGCGGGATTCCGGATTCCTTGAGTTAAAATGTAGATTTCAAAGCCCTTTAGGATTCCGGATTCCACAAGAAAAAAATTCCCAGATTCCGGAGTCCAGATTACGTTACATTGGGAGCGAGTGACTTCTATTGATTAAGAAATGACTAAATGAACGATATTTGAGTCAGTTTTCACGGAGTGACGTAGTCCGCGGAATAACCGCTTATTAAAAGTAAAGCTACAGCAAAACAGGCACTAACAACGAAAACAAACCTTGCAACCTGATTTGTTGCAAGACAAATGCGCAACAACGCTATTCAACTGGTTTTGCAGCAATGTTATTAAACAAGTTGCACGTTTTTTGTTGCCCGTTTTATAATTACCGTACTAGAGATTTTAGTTTGTCCTGTTTTATTGTTTTAGAATTTGTTCCGAAAAGAGGTGTTAGATTATGATCCTGCTTACATAAACACCCCGTTTTTAATATGGACTGCATTTCAGTGTCCATAGTAACGGGGTTCGACCGTTATTTTTGTAAAGGATGTCATACTAAACTGGAAAAAAAAAAAGAAGAAAAGACTTCAGTGACTTATAGTTTGGTGAACTTGACTAACAGCTTTGAAATTGTGTTTTGTGTGGTATCGTAACAGATTGGGTTCATTGGTGCGTGGGTGTTATTCTTCAGGCAAATCTTTCAACAAACGCCAGTGTGGAGGACCTTCTTGTACCATCTTCCTGGTACATTTCAAGCTAGAAGTGCAATGAACTTTTCAAAAGCCCGGACATCTTTGATTGAAGCTTCAATTTCCTTGAGACAGCGCTAAACTGGTAGCCGGTTTATTCATGCAGAAACTGAATTTTTGCTTACCCACACGCCGATCCAAACGCCGAAATAAACATAGCCTGTCCATTCACCAGGCGATCCTCCAAAAACCAGTCGATCGCCGATGCCAATCCCGATAAGTAAAACCCCAGTAATGATTTGAGTGATGGCAAGAGTCCTCGCCTTTTTGGCGGCGTTCGCCCAGTTGTCCGCCATGTTGACAGGAATTTATGAAGAAGAGAAATGGGAGCTGTACTCTGCGTCATCAATAGACATAAATACGTAAAACTCTGACTCTTCATCAGTTCCCGCTCAATGCACAGCGCTCTATAGCCGCTATCATAAAGGTATATGAGTGAGTTTGACTTCATACGGGCCGTTTTTGTACATGCCACTGAGTTAGCTCGGGTTCCCCTTTTTTACTTTGTTAAAACAGCTGGCCCTCTCTGCAAGGTTGACCCTCGCAAAACAAATGCAAGACTTCAAATTGCGGCCATGGCGAGAAGGCGCCTGTAAAGATTAATTTATAGATAGTAGGCTGAAAAGGGTTTTTCTTGAAGAAGATATCAACAATCCTCAACCTGTAGTGTTGTAGTGTTTCAACAAGATTTAATGTCGTAAGTTATAGTAAACAATCTGGAACAATCAACCTTAGTTCAGGGGCACCCAACGACGGTTTCCTCCTAAATGCATTGACTGAACACTTTTTGGGCTTTCCAAAAATTTTCATCTTTTTCGGTCATCCTAGGGGAACTTGAGCCTTTTCGAAATGACAGTGGCTTCAGTATTATTTCCCCGAAAATTTTAGCTGCAATTTAAAGTTTCACGAATTAGTGATAATTTTTTTGGTCACACTCCGCACCGCATTTTCGATTCCGAAAATTTTAGGTTTCTTTTCTCTAAGAAAAATAGCTTAACTCGGGGAGTGCAATGGGAAAAAATAAACTCCAGAAAATCTTGGGGGATTTATTAGATAAGCCTCGTAAATTGTACATGAATGAAACGATCATCTAGAAATTCTTAGCCCTCGTCACGTTAAAGAAAATTCTGGGCAATTTTGCTTCTCCGAACAGATATTTTACAAAACAACCGTTGGGTGCCCCTGATAGTTTCCGGCCCACAAAGCGAGGTCATTTGATATTCTGATATTGTTGACCAAATAATATTTGACGTCAACTCTTTTATTTGTTCCTGCCAAAATTGAGATTTCGTTTTCATGCAACTGAAATGTCTGCATCAACGACATCAAGCTATTCTGTTTTAAAAATTGCGTCGGTCAACCCGCCTTAAGTTTATATGACAGTATGCACATAAAGAGAATCAGAATTCCGTGTAAAATTCGGCTGCACAATCATCGTATTGTGTTCGTCGGCCTTGCTTGTTTGATTGCAATCACCTTTATATTGACACTCTTTCGACCAAATGCATCAAATGCTCCGTTTAAAAAAACTCTTCGCTTTAAATACGTTAAGAATGTAGCCAACAGCAGCTTCGCTGCGTGCAGGCTCCCACTTATAGACCCTCATCACGAGAGCGTACTTGAATTTTTGCAAGATCTTGGCGATTTGCGTTGTGAGGGAAGAAGCTTTTCAAACTTTGAAAACAACGTGCTTCGCATTGAAGGAGAGGGCATCGTTTCAGCGCATTACAGGAAGATTGTGAGAGAGGCCGGAGAAGATTATTACGTTTTCCTTTCGGAGCCAGTTTCTATCTCAAACTTAGCCGACAAAAGTGATGGAAAAGTACAGTCTCCCTCAGGTATGTAGTTATCATAGTCCTCTCCGTTCAAATTTTTGCTCAGTTAAAAGGTTATGCCGCTACTGTAAACGACCGTCATCTGTCTTGCGACCGCAAATGCTGTATGTGAAAAACTCGTTCAAAAAGGGGTTTCTCTAACTAGTAGTCTCCTACAAACCGGTTCTTTGAGTCATCACGTACCCAGGAGCGTTGGGCTTGAACGACACAAAGGAACGGCTACGTGGGAGACGAAACTTGAGTAGTCTCCTTCTTCGCAGCCGTCTTTAGGCTCGTCACGCATCGCTCCTCCCCACAAACCATGAGGAGCGTTGCATGGCGAGCCTAAAAACGGCTGCGAAGGAGCCTAAGACTGTACAAGCTCTAACTAAAACAGCAACGTTAAGGTCGGCTCATCATATACCGTGTTTATGAAGTGTAAGTACTGACAACGACAAGTGTAATTATGTTTTTGCGTTATTGCCCAAGCGTGACGTCCATGGCCGGATATTATATATATTGACCCATTCACAAACAAAAAATGCCCGCGCACATGATACAGATCAATTGACGTTGAACTTGGTAACTGCCCCATACTTAAGTCACAATTTTGAGTGAAAAGTAACAGTTAATAGTTAATAGGGAGCTTAAGCAACGACAACGGTGACGGCTACGAAAACGTCACTTAAAAAAAGTGAAGTTGAGCTGTTTGAAACTTTATCGCGCTTATTCCATCTCGTTCAGTTCGTCAAATGTTGGCAATTTATTCTTGAATTGAAGTTCAGGAAACGAAAACCAAAATCGTTGTTTTTATTCATGTCCTCCACAAGGCGTGAAATTCGGCATTTTCACTTCGTAGTCGTACAGTGACGAAAAACGCGTGATGCACGTGCAAAGTCGATGTTTTTTTTTTGCTAATTATTTAGTGACAAATAAAGTGAATAGTACCGAGCGGGGAAGATAGAATTAGATCGCAAAAGGTCAGAAGCGCATCGTCTGGAGACGATCTAGACGATTTCATTCAGTAAAATGAAACAAGTGGCATCTTAGGTGGCCGCTTCTAGGAAAACGAGGAAGCAAAACTATAGGAATCTGGCCGTGCTTCTAAATAACTAGCACATATGTACAAGTCAACAGGGGTGCTTATCCTTATGGCAGGCTGGTTTTTCCATCTCTTTAGGTTTCACCCCGAAAATGTGGAATTTTTTCCCATCTTCAAGAGGTAAGTCCTGCTTTTCACAAAACTGATTCCGTTTGGCCATTTTTTTTTTTATATTATTATTTAAATTGTTCATTTATTTATTATTTTTACAGACAAATTTTCGGGCACTGCCACAGTAGAACATGACTTCATCCAAGTCGATGTAATGACGTCATGGGGTTGGACAAAAAGTGACGTACACATGCACGTGTTTCCAAAAAAGGAAGTGCTTGCTAGGCAACAGAGCCCCAGGGGAATTCCGCTTAATGTTGCGCTGATTATGTTCGACTCTACGTCGGCCGCTAACTTTAGAAGAAAAATGCCGAACAGCTTGGAATATCTGACAAATAATCTGAACTCGCTCTTAATGAGAGGTGAGGTGAAACATTTCCCAAGAAACAGATCTTAGTCCCTGCCTCCTCCGGGCTCTAAACTTAGCGGGGAACGAGGAGGTGCTGGGGACCGGTGAGAGGCGCGGGAACGAGCACAGAGCGCGTGCGGGAAGCGATTGGAAGAAGTGAAAAAGTTTTTTCTACCCTTCATTTCCTTTACCCCCGCTTTTCTTGACTATTAACTTAATAATCTTAAAATAAGCGATTGCAAATCATTGGAGAGAAAGCAATCATACTCCTATTTTGACGACGTACTTGACATTCCAATTAATCCACAGTGACACTTCCTAAAACGGCACCTTGACTTTGGTCTGTGCTTTTTTTGGTTATTATTTTTTTCTCTACCATTTTGTTTATTTTTATAATCGAAATCGAAATCGAAATGGTGACCGTCTGGGCGCAAAAATGACAACATTGCCATTGCTTTTATACAAATCATTTTGCCGTCACGATATAAGGTCCGTTCCATCTGTTTTTCAATTAATATTTTTGCCAGCCACTGTTTTGAGGCTCATTGACCTTGTATTACATGCAATACTATAGGTGAAACTGTAGTTGGGGACGGTACCACAGCTCAGCTAGTTCCTCTTCTTACCGGAATTGTTGAACAGCAACAAACAGAAGCAAGAGTAAGGATGGGAAGCGCAGCCAACCCTGTCGACAAATGGCGATGGATATTTAAGGATTATAAAGAAAACGGATATGTGACAATGTTCTCCGAGGACTCGCCCCGCTTTGCGGCGTTCAATAATCGCTTGAAAGGCTTCAGAGATCCTCCAACGGACCATTATGCACGACCATTCTGGCTGGCAGCGTTAGATTTGGGTTGGGAGCGGTTTTGCATCAACAGTAAAGCTTCGCACAAGGTTTCATTTGAATACTTGCTGAGCTATTTTCGTGCCTACAAGAATAAACCGAAATTCTCTTTCGTCTCTCTTGCTGCTTTGTCTCATGACAATATAAACAGCATTGGTTATGCAGATAATGACTTCAAGACATTTCTGCAACAAATGAAGGAAGAATCCTTCCTTTCCTACAAGAATAAACCGAAATTCTCTTTCGTCTCTCTTGCTGCTTTGTCTCATGACAATATAAACAGCATTGGTTATGCAGATAATGACTTCAAGACATTTCTGCAACAAATGAAGGAAGAATCCTTCCTTGATAGCACCTTTCTTGTCGTATTCGGGGACCACGGTTCGCGATTTTCCGCCCTGAGGCAAACTGTTCAAGGGAAGCTGGAGGAACGGCTTCCATTTCTGTCAATCACAACACCCAGATGGTTTTCAGATCAATACTCTGAGCTGTATAACAATCTTATCCATAATGCAGATATTCTCACCACACCGTTTGACTTGTACGCTACGCTACGTCACATTTTGACGTATCCAAAGTATCCAAGCGGGATCGAAACCGGTCAAAGCTTGTTTAACCGGATTGACGAGGGAAACCGTACTTGCGCCGAGGCAGGCGTCGAGGATCATTGGTGTCCTTGTCTTAATTTGGAGGAAATTTCTGTAAACGAACCTGTAATTAGGCAGTTAGCGGATTTTGTTTTGAGTTATATGAATAATTTGCTTTCACAAAACCCGAGAATAACAAAACTGTGTCAAAAGCTAACTTTGAAGGAGGTGAAAAGTGCTTTCAGGGATATGCCTAGTGAAGAAATGCAGTTTTTTAAGAAATCTAAACGAGACAAGATATGCGACACCTGCGGACTTGAGTATGGAAGTAAATCAAAAAACACACTTGTTTTAGACACGCTTTATCAGTTACAATTAATCTCGTTTCCTAACGACGGACTTTATGAGGCATCTGTTAGAATGACTAAAGGTGCTCCTTCACTTGTGGGTGAAATCAGTCGTCTGGACGCCTACAAAGATCAGATCTACTGTATACGAGATTTATACCCTCATGTACGTAAATATTGTTACTGTTATTAGAATCCTTTACATTGCAAGAACACGGATTTTTTCTCAAAGAAGAAGAAGAAGAGCTTCTAAACGGATGGTTAAAAATAAAGTGTTTTTATTGTTTTATTTTGCGCTTGTTCTCGTTTTGTAACGGTAATTATTAGAATTTATTACAACTCATGCTAATACGCTAGGTACGTCTAGAAATACGCCTAGTAAGCTACTTGTATATAGAAAAGTGGGAAAGACGAGGGCTAGAACAAGTATTAGATACCCACGTTTGTGGCAGAAACATTTACTGCAGATGAGTCTAGTATTGCTCTGCAGGGGCACTAAAGGTAGGCAATCGCCTCTACGATAATTTGACCAACAGTTTCTCGTAACCAGGTACAGCGGTCTACTTTTTTACGGTCAAATGTCTTACCAGAAGGCAATTTATCTGTTAAGCAGAACCATGTCGTCGCAAACGCTGAGTTGCGCCCAAAATAAGTAATGTACATCATTTGCTTGAAGAGTTATGTATGTACTTTGAATAGGAATGTCAAAGATCATATCAATCATTGATAACAACCCTCGGATAAGTTTGGCATACCTTTTCATATACTTTCGGAAGGTGGGGTTATTTTCGTGGGGCGGGTTCGCTACTTTCGAGAGTTGCTAACACCTGTGAAATTTTGTCGCTACTTTCGGGGGTTGTTACTTTCGGAACTTTAAGGTAGTTTCGAAACGCACAACACTTGCGGCACTACTCAGGTAAAATTAATTTGCCAAATGAAAAGTTCCTTACAACATATACTGATACATACGTATACAAACTCGCCCGCGGAATTTAAATGAGAAACTATCGTGTGACAACGGCAATTGGCATTTAAACGAGCCTAAGAGGCTTGAAACACTGTCTGTACGCAAATAAACACAAGAAAACGCTTAAGGTATTGAATGTCTTATTCAGTGTTGCTGCATGAAGAATTTTAAAATTACTTAAGTATAGTTTTGTTGCTCAGGGAGTGAGCTTTTAGCCTGCTTAGCAGGCGCTTGGAAGTAATAGGCGCAGCAAAGAACGGGGCGTGCGAGAAGAGAGACACGCGAGGGGATGATTATAATATTACTTCTAAGCGCCTGCTACGCAGGCTAGTGAGCTTTGGGATACCTGTGCAGTCATTGAGCAATGCTTCGGCTGTTTTTGCACGCACTTCTGACACTTAATTATAAGTGAGTCAGACCCCGATTACATGATAATATGACTGACTGGTATGAGGGTACTTTAGCATGGATTTTTAGGTCAAACAGGTTGCTATCAGAATTGGCCCGGCCTGAGACCCTTCGCGAATAACAAAGATATTAGGATAGCAACAACAACAACAAGCTTTTATTGGCATGACTATAACAGTACATTACAGTATTCAGCAAAAGCTATTTCAATTTATAACTAATAACTGATTTGCTATTTAACTTATTAAATATTTATGACGAGATAACTGATCTCCTCGGTGAAGCGTAGAGATTGAGACAGTTGAAACGACACCAACGTCATTCTCAGACTAAACCTAGTTTTCATATTTCGAAAAAACCCCTGCAGATCGGCGATTTGACTGTTAATTCCCGGGGACCGTCCCAGATGAAACTTGAAATCGTAGATGTCGCTGATTAAGTCTGCAATGCCCAGGGACAATTCGAGCATCGGGTGCGTTTCTGTTTTCCCAACGCGTCACAGATTTTATTTGATTATCGTCGATTATTTCCTCACACTGAGTCAAATTTGTACCGTCGGGGATCGATAAGCGATCATTTTTGCGCGGACTCAATGCTCTAACCACTTAATTCTAGTGTTTTCCACCCTATCAGAATGGCATCTGGAAGAATCTATGGAATTTGCCTCACATGTCGACAAAAACGGAGGTGATTTTCGAGATTTTTCCGACATATCAGAAAACCAGGCTGTCGCCCGATGTGAGGGAATCCAACGAAGTCTTGAATTCTGGATTTTATGCTATGGATTCCAGATTCCAGGTGCCCAATGGACGGATTCCAGTCTTTGAATTCGGATTTTGAATTCCAATCGTTAGTGGGACTCCGGATTGCGGATTTCAAAACCCGGGATTCCAGATTCAACAAGCAAAATTTTCCTGATTTCGGATTTCACAAGCAGTCCGGAATCGTGATTGTAAATGTATGAAGGTAATCTAGGGGAAATTGACTTTGGTTCGAGTTAGCGAGGGTTATCTCCTTTGGCCGAATATGGCTTTATTTCATGTCGCTTATCACGTCATTTCTCGCATAGCAACCGTCTTTCATCAAACTTCGTCATAACGTGTCCGATAAATAATTTAACAGCTACCAAACAAGATGAAGCAGCAAATAAATAGCAAAACCCTACAGGTTTTAAGGTGGGGGAGGGGAATTTTCAGTACCCACTTTATCTCGTACGTCAAAGGGTCAACTGTACATAGTTCAGTTCCTCCAAGCCTGGCTAACTAGTACTCCGTGACTGGTGGTCATAGGTTTGTCATGTTTGAGAGAGCTCCCCTTTTTAAAGTGCGTTATGAATTGACACCGGAACAAAAAAAACGCTTAAAGTTGAGCCTACTTTTTATTCCTAATGCTTATATATTTTCGGCTTGTTCAAAGTCAGTTTATAACGACAGCCCCACTTGTTTTAATATCTAATATTAATATAGCTGATTAAATATTTTCCAGTTACGTCTAGACCGCTACTTGCATCTATAAAAACAAAGGAAAACAGAAAAAGTGTTAGATGTGACCGGAACACTTTAGTGGGAGCGAAGCAGAGGCGGATCCAGGGGAGAGGCCCGGGGGCTCCGCGCCACCCCTTATTTCTAGACCAAACTGAGGCCAAACGCTTTTTTTGGAGACACCCCCCCCCCCC